GGCCACATCGTTATCATTATTACTAATTTAATATTATTTGCGGCCTTCTATGATTGGGTCCATCTGAAGTCCCTGTCATGACAGCAGTCGACTATGGGCAAGGCTTTTTCAGCATGGTCCAGTGTTTTATAGGTGAGGTGGAAGTGTCCTTGGGTGAGACACTGAACCCCTAGTTGCCCCTGGTGGCCAGGCAGCAACCAGCAACGCTGCCATCAGTAAGAAATTTCCCCATGGGTGTTAATAAAGTATAAAAAAAATGTTCTAATTACTCTAAAAATAGGAGGAAACTTTAAAGTATGCCACACTGCTAATTACATTTACTCAAAGAGTAGTGTAAATTGGTACTTATTACAGCAAAGCGTTTAATTTATTAACAATACAGTTTACAATTCTGACTAAAACTTGGATTTAAATGGAGAAAATATCACTAGAAATCAGAAACTGCTTAAAAGCTCAACACAATTACCTAAAATCTAATAATTAAATCAATATCTTGTCTTTATTGGCCCTGTTATTAATACAAAATTACTTTTGTTCTTTACTTCCTAGGAAAATGTCTACAAAAGTGCTACCAAAATGGGCCCAACAATTTTAAGTCTTCATGCATGAATATGAGACATATCGGTAATGTAAGTGAAGAGGAATTCATAAGATTAAGGCATGTGATCCCTCATGTATGACAGCCGTGTCATTATAAACTAAGAATGCCTGCTCTTTTAATCTGCCTTCATATGTGCAAGTGCTTTGTGTTTATAATTATAGGTCTGTAAATGCATTTCCTACCCTTACAACAGTTTTTTGCTGTCCCTGAACACACCGGGCCTCTACTCTTCTCATCATCGGCGTCAATCTGTGGCTGTCACTCGGAGCCGGACAGTGACTAACGACATTCCCAGTCAGTCAAACACTTATCACCACACAGGTAACACACAGGCCTGAAAATGACTGACATGAAATGGAAACGTCTCTCATTCTGTGGGACCAGGAGCTGAAGTGAAATATTAGCTGTGGAAGAGATGGCGGATGATAAGAGGCTGGAATTGTGGAGGTCCGAGTTCTATTACATTTCTTTTTTATGCCAAGGCGTGGTGTGAAGATCCAGTTCACTAGATATAGGATGGCTTTCCTTATCAATTTCCTCTCTTATATGCATGAATTTAAACCTTACCTTTGTGCTACTGTTACTTTACTGACCCTAATGTTCATGTTGCAGTATTTGTGAATTGCTAAACTAAATGCTGCTTAAAGCCAGCGAGTCATTGTTGCTATAAGCCATTGTCCCTGAGGCTTACTGTGGTCCACAGCGCCAGATCGAAGGTCACTTGAAGCCAGACTGCAGCCTGCTCGATGTCAATGGGTCACATATGCTTACTGTCTCACCTATTACTCATAGACTCTACTGTGTACTCCCTTTACCTCTCGTTTCCTTTCCTCACACATCTCCTTCATGCACATATACAATTCCCTCTGTGCAGAAAGATGGATGGGATGTTCCCAAACCACAGGTGCTGTTCTACTTGTGAGTCTTTCACATTCTCCCCTACACAGCTCAGGTCTGCTCAGTTTTTTACTTTTTACTGTTTTCCCCAGTGGTGATTACTGCAGTACTTCAGAGTTGTGGGCTAATGAGGAACATGGAATTAGTAGTGCAGTATACAATCAATCTGCCTGTCTATTAGCAGCTCTTTGGGAATGAGATACTTTTTTAAGAATATGACAAACCCCATGAACTTGAAACATTTTGTCCAGCGCTGGTCCTCCAAACATGGCCTCCCATCCAGATCGCCACTAGATGGGGCTTGTTTCCAACTTCTGTGTTTGCTGGTAGCTCTCACTGAATCCCAGACCTGAAGCTTATTCTGCTGTGCAAGCTATGCCACCTTGTGGTTGATATTGTCATTAACCTCTTATAAAATAAATGAAAGTTTACACTGTGTTCTACCACAGAAACAGTCTGGTTGAAGCTGTTTATCCAAACTGGTATATGGACAAAATAACAACATATATAAGGCCTGTACTCCAAGAGCTACTCCTGCCGTTACCAGGACACACAGTACATGGAGAAACTGTGGTGTAGTTCAACTAATTTGGAAAAACATAAAACTACAATTCCATTGCATCTTTCCACATTTTTGTGTTTATGAGGAAAATTAACTCAAAAATGGGATTCCATGTGATTCACTTACTTTATATTTCCACTGCACTACACTGTACTTTTGATACCTTAAGAACATTTTACTGATAACAGTTCAGTATTTTTTACTAAAGTTAAATTGTTTTTGAATATTTTTACATGGTTGTATTGGCTTTTCACCGGCCTAATACAGTTGTAAGAAGGTACTGTGATTGAGAGTGCCTGAAAACTAAAGATAAATCAAGCAAAAATCTAAAAACTGACAGACTGAAGATTGAAGATCTGGTGTTTATTGCCCTAAGTGATAAAAGTGTGAATGTAATCTTACCTGACAAATGAACAAAAGAAAAGTACACAGAGCCTAAATGTTAATCCATAAATGCATATGCAGGAGCCAAGGATCTAACGCAGACTGCATTTTCTGATTCCCTTGACAGGGTACGTAAAAGGGATATTTGACTTTGAGCTTACATCAAATAAAAAGGTTGGAAACCATTGGTTTAAGGCAACTTAATACAATAGTTGTACAAAACTTACTGCCTTAATGAAGCTTTAGATGTCCATTGTTTGTTGAGATAAAAGTGAGGCTATAGCCTGTTTGGTGTTTGTTGTGTCAGATTGTGACAACCCCTTGTGTAAAACATGGGGCCCACAAGAATCATTTTTGCTGTTTGTTTCTCATATTGTTATAATCAAAATGCACTTGTGTAGGATCAAGGACATGGCTAATTCCCAGAGCTAAATTCTCATCTAATATCTTATCTGACTCTCTTATAGTATGTATTAGTGAGATATATGAAATTTTGCTATAGGATATGACACATTTTGTTGTTTCTCCTTTTTAAGATAGCGTGTAAGCACTTCTCCTTGATATACTTAAGATGAAGTGAGTGACTTTTTCACCACCACTCTAGAAATACCTACTTTATATTATGTTAACACACCAGAATCAAAGCAAGGCTTATAAGTTAGGCTACAATAAACAAATCCATTCAGAGCTACACTGAGCAGTGTATCGCCATTAATGCTCTTTTGTTAAGAAAAATTCAAAACATCTGCCATGGACCATGAGAGAATCCACAGTGAAGCCTCAGCTCTGCATGTTGTTATTGACTTGACTGATGGTTTCCTGTCGTGAGAGAAAAAGGCATGCTCAAAGAAGAGAAATAAAACAATGTGTCTGTGGTCTCACCTGAATTTAGCAGGTAGGCTGCAGTAGTCTGGGGCCAACCTCAGTGACCACAATAACACCCTGGGGTTTTTTCTTTACAGTCGATGTGCGAGACTGTAAATACAAGCACTTTGTGATGTTTTTCTCTTTTTCTTCCTCCATCAATCTTTTCTTTCTATAGCTCAAAGTGTCAGTACAGTAACATTTGACAGAGAAGGAACTTTAGTTTGATTTCCATATCTAAACCAAACCAAGCTGAACATCTTAAAGCTACACTATGTACAAACTTAAGGTAGCGCTAGCATGAAGCTCCAAATCAAGTCACTCTGTTTCACTTGGCACTCCCCGCTCTACTATGCTCTTCTAAGATCTGCTATGATCTGCTACAATCTGCTAATCTCTGCCCAGCTCCACTACTGATCAAGCAGAAATCATTGAAAATCTCTGATTGGTCAGAGAGGACAGTTTCACTCAAAACCTTTTAGAAGCTATTATCTCTGCACTGCTGCCAGTGCTGTTCAGTGAGTCTGGGACACAGGAGGCTTTGACAGTGCATATTGTAACTGTTACATACTGTAACTTTAATCTAATGAGCACACAGGCATGCTGTTAAATGTGGGTCCTTGATATTTTAATGTATAAATATGGAGCGGACGGTGTTTCCTCTGCTTCAGGAAGATAACACAGATAGAACCAACTTTACATTTTTGTCTGATCCCTGATTTCAGGTTTATATTATATTGATAGCAGCAGTTTCAGTTTGGTGGTGTCAAGAGAAGGAGAAGGTAGGCCACCAGCCCATCATTTAGACTTGCATGGCTTTGATGTGCTCAGTGTTTGGTGACACAGGCCAAACAAGTGAAAGTCCTCTCAATTTTAGATTGAATTTCATGCAGATTGTGTGATTTTTTTTTTACTAAAAAACCTATACATCCAAGTATTCAGAGTGCAGTTTTTAGGAGTCGGAATCAGAAATCATGTGTGTCAGAGTAAAGCTGAAGAAGAAGAGACTGACACCTGAGTCTGAGCCAATGTGGGGAATTTTTATATGCCACTTTTAATGGGCATCTGTTAACATCCACAGTGAAACTGCCAAGTCATAGCCACAGACAGACTATTTTCAATAGCTGAAGAGTGTCGGCACAGACAATGGCACACTTTACACAGGATGATGTCTAGTCATTTGTGGATTGACTAGCCAAGTGCAAGTCTTTCCCACCACAGCATGTACATAACACCAGCGAAAGCACATGAATACTTTCCCATAATATAATAGATAGTATTATAATTTGTTTATCTCATCACTTAGTCCTGCATTCATTTACAGTATGTACTTGAGCAGATGCACCTGCTCCCCACTTGTTTTTGTTCTGCATGAATAGAATAGCAATGAAGAAAGCTGCAGCATGCTTCAGATTTTTCTAACTTTTTAATTATTGTTTTGTACATGAAAATAAAAAATACCATTTTTATTCACTTATTGCAGCACACAACAAATATATGATGAATTGAAATAGAAAAAACACACACACAAATACAACCATATTTACACACATTTACAGTTTATACAACTAGTTCCAGAAAAATCATGCTTGCCACTGTATATGGATATAAACTCCTTAAAGCTGAAAATGTCATTGCTGCTCTGCTAGTAGCAAGTATCGCATAGGAAACAACATGAAAAATAAGATCATATTAAACTAGGCTCAGGTGTCATATTTCAGTGTCTGACATTACAGAAGGACGTTTGGGAACTGCTTGTATTTTACTGAGCCCTCCTTTGCCACCAACACACATCTTCACAATCCTCAGGAGGTCTTGTCGGAACCGCACTCCAATGAAGACATACAAGATTGGGTTCAGGCACGCATGGGTAAACGCCAGGCTCTTGGCTACCTGTCCAGCTATATCAAAACCTATTGCAGTTTTACAGTCTGTGATAGTAATCTCAGTTGCCTGCATGGCTTCCACTATCAGCAGGCTATTGTAAGGCAGCTGAGAAAGGACAAACACAAACACCACAGCAAAGATGACACGTAGGGCCTTGTGCTTTTCAAAAGTCTTGGCCTGAAGAAGTGTGCGAATGATGACAGAGTAACAGAAGATCATAATTAGTAGAGGAAGGCAGAAGCCCATGCAGATCTGCAGGGACAGCACCAGGATCTTAGTCGAGTTGTTTGTATTGTTCGAGTAGACCATGACACAGAAAGATGTTCCTGTTTGATTCGGCTTCACCTCAGCAAAGATAAACTCAGGGAGGGCCAGGAGAGTGGAGACAACCCAGACAGCTAAGCAGACAAGTTTGCTGTAGAACAATCTCTTTTTTTTCAGGTTCTGGGCCCTGATAACTTGTACAATAGCAATGTAGCGGTCCACGCTAATGCATGTGAGCAGGAGCATGCTGCTGAAAAAGTTAATCTTGTAGACAGCGGACACCATTTTGCAGAGAGAAACACCAAAGTTCCAGCCCTTGATAGCATCGACAGCCCTGAATGGCAGCATGCACAGGAAGAGGAGATCAGCCACAGCCAGGTTTAAGAGGTACACGTCGGTCATTGTTTTCATACGGTTGTGTACAGTAGTATAGATCCAAACCACCATCAGGTTACCAACAGCACCCAGGATGAAGATGATCCAGAAGAGAGGGGGTTCATATTGCCCACGAAATTCCCTGACCCAGCTTTTCTCACACATTCCTGTGCTTTCAGTTGGCCCTGTATCAAAGCCTGAGTAGTCAGAAGTGTCCTGAATTTAAAAATAAAAAAAAAACAGATTATCTAATGCATCATAAAGAAGGTTGTGTGCAACAGACATGCTACCTCTTTTTTTCTCCATTTTCATTTCCTGTCAGGCGTTTGGTATTTTTTTGTCCTTGTTACCAACTCGCTAACTGCTTTCAGGGTTTCATAACATAACATTGTGGGAATGCAGTGATGTGACATCAAACGCTGTGTGTGACGTAAAAGCTAACCAGAGTGTGTTCAAAAAAACTGCTGGCAGGTGCAGGTGTTGAATTTGTGCTAGCAAAACCACACTACTGCATAACTTCCTGCTGCTATCCAAGCACGAGAGGGGTAAACGATCCTGAGGGGGCTCCAGAAAGAGGACGATGGCACGACTCAGTACCCCAGAAGCAGCAGTTTAGATGTAGGTCACAGATAAATAGATGTAGGGCAGAGATAAACACTGAGGTGATGCCAGGGCTCAGGTTTGCACAAACAATGAAAAATTTGCTCTTGATATTGTTGTGAGTCTGAATGTGATGCTTGAATATCCTATAGATGTCTGCTTCAGATAAATCTACTGTACCAGGATCATGACATTATCCAGAGAGAAGTAAATGCTACAGGTTAAACAGTTAACAACAAATAAAGGACACAAAAATATATCCTGTTTAGTAAGGAGTATGTGTGCATAGACTGATTTAAAGTGTACTCTAAAATTATACTTTAGATACTGCACCATAAACACTAAAAATGTGGAAGATTTTTTTAGTGCCACCTCATTTTTGCTACTCAGTCATACAAAACATCAACAAAAATAAATAAAGACAATGACATTTTCTGTTATTTTTCACAGCTGTGATGCTACAGACAGTATCTTAAAGTAGTACTTACAAATTCAGGATAATCGGTTATGGTCGTAAAAGTTGATAACGGCTCATCCATGTTGTCTACAAAGAAACAGAGGATATTAACATAAGACCACACATCAAAACTTTGAAACCTATAAAAACAATAAACCATAAATAAACATAACATATGGTGAAAATTAAGCTTAAAGGTTGAATAAATTAAACATGCTGTAAAACCTCTACAAATTAGTGCAGTAAATCACTTACCCCCTTGGTGATGAATCTCTCAGTGACAGTTCTACGTCTATGTCTGGGTAGTGCAGCTACCTTTACCAACAAGTCTCATCTTCTATTGCTTATATGGTTTCCCTTTCACCACAGGACGACGTGCTCATGCGTATCATTCCACGCTCTCTCAACCTGCAGAAAAAGAACCACACACAATCCCTCTGTGCAACACATTTGTCTCAGCTAAACTGAAAGATGACTGGTTTCAAAGTATAACCTCTGAGCAGTGACAACAGCGAGATAGTTTCACAGGGAAGCTGTGACTGCACCATTGAAGTGTGACCATCAGGCTTGAAGCAAAACAATACACCCACATTCACTCCACAGCCGATTAAGTTTCAAGTGAAAACCCTTTTCTTGGACACATTTTGTGCATACAGGTGTGTACACAAAATGTACTCTCTACAGATGAGTGATGTGTGAAACTGAAAACCATGAGGAGAGGTTAAAGCTTAAAACTTGAGGAGACAGTCACTGTTAAAAGTAGACCCTAACATGTCTACCCCATGTAACCATCATCTTTCTTGTTAAATGTCCTGCTGATGAATAAATAAGTGTACCAGCAGTGCCTTGGACCTCTTAGAAAGACAACATCTCTTTCACTGTAACATAAAGTGATGTTAGCCCTGGTAAAGTTTATTCAAAGGAACAGGACAATTTGTTAGCAAATAGGCCAAATTTCTTTCTAGCTGAGAGTTGTATAAAAAGCCTGATACTCTCATGTCAGTAAGTAAGCTGGAGCCAGGAGATGGTTAGCTTAGCATACAGACTCAAGGTAGAGAAGTCCATCAAGTTACTGCACTATGGTTTTTTATGGATTAACCCAAAATGATGGGATGTTTATTAGTCAGCCTCAGTTACCAGAAGGTGATTTTTTTTTCACACCTTTGGACTAACCTAGGCTGTCTGCTTCCCTGTTTCCAGTGTTTATGCTAGGCTAACCGGCTAGCTAGTCTTTTTATGTACAGGAGGATAAGTGATTACATATTCTGTAAAATGTCAAACAAAGCATTTCACTGGAACTGAGCTAGTTTTATCCTTGTTAGCACTGACTCACTGCACAATAAACACCAACACCTGCTGCTACCAAGGTACAAGGTTTTAATGTGATGTTTTCTAAAACAAACAAACAAAAAACAATAGTAACATTTCATAATACAATTTTACTTAACTGCTTTTCCATGCTCTTTAATTACACTGTAAGGGCATGGTAAAAATCATTTTCCCCAGTTTTCAATTTGTCTTCACTACTGTACCCTGTAAGTAGTCAGTATTTACAAAAATACTTGAAAGTACCATGTATTTCCTCTAAAATCCCCAGTTGTTACTCCCTTGTCTGCATAGACTTGTTTTCTACTACTGTAAGTACCAAGTATCTTATATATTTTATCAGTTTATGATTCATAAAGTAAAACTGTACTGTAAATCACAGACTGTTATGAAGTGTTACCACCTGAAAACAAGGATTGACAATGATCAATGGCCATTACCCATAGGATATTAATGAAATGCCAAATAAGTCACATCACTGACCAAAATGGAACAAAACATGCTAAAGTAGAAAGCCCCTGTCATACCAACTTCTTCATCTCAATCTAAAAAAACAGCCAATTGGTCTTATGAAAGAGGTCTGACTACTTTATGACGTTAGGGAAGTAATATATACTGATCAGCAAGTCTGAGGTTACAAAGTCACAGTGACAGTTTGACATGTTATTTATTCAAGAGAATTCAGGTTTCTCATTGTGTCTCAGTATAAGTCTAGCTGTGGCTTTTGATAAGTTTCTCTTATAAGACAGAGTGACTTTTCACAGTTTCACTTCACCGCATGGTTTAACATTTCAGTCCTAGTATAACATGTTGGAGGATGAGTGTGCGTGCAATCAGCTCTTGAGCTTTCTACCAAATGTTGGTTGCCTTTCTTGATTTTGATCAGAGTGCAGCACAGGGTAACTGCTGTGTCATGATCAGATGCTGAAGAAAGTGACTGAGTGATAGGTTTCACTCACTAATGGCCAAAGTGCAGCTAACTGACTGCACTGTTCTGGTCTGTGGGCATACACAACCCAACATGTGCAGAAAGGAGCATATGACTACTATAGTAGGTCAAAACTAAAACCTTATTCATTAGTAACTAAAACAGAAGGCAGTGACGCATCAAGCCCCAAGTAAATACATAATGATGCATTGTGATCTTTGCAAAGAGATAGTGGTTTTCCTTACAACTAAATTCCACTGAACCGCACGTTTTACAAACACTTCCTGGCTTATTCTAACATTGCATAATGAGCTTTGCAATTAACAGCAGACAAAAGAAAAGACTGTCCTCGGTCTCATGTGCACATTGGCCTGTATGTCTGCTTAGGGCAGAAAACCCTGTTTGCAGGCTCATTACTACTTCTAAGTTATTTTTGGGCATTTTTGTCTTTATTATTGTTACCATTACAGGGTAAGTGGGTGGGGGAAAGGCGGACAGGGGAGTGTACATGCGACATAGGTCAGCAGCTGATAAACACAATAGACAATAAACGTTGTCACATATGCACACAGACTCTCATACACATTTAGGATAAAGAGTTAAAAGTGAAACAGTCATGATTTGGTGAGTGTGAAAATTATCATATGCTGTGGCCCTCACAGTCACCAGATCTCAACCCAGATGAACACCTATGGGAGATGTTGGAATGACATGTTAGACGGTGTCTCCACCACCATCATCAAAACACCAAATGAGGGAATATCTTTTGGAAGAATAGTGTTGATCCCTCCAGTAGAGTTCAGAGACTTGGAGAGTCAATGCCAAGGTGCAGTGAAGCTGCTCTGGCGGCACATGGTGGTCCAGCACCCCACTGTTGGGTTTTCCTTTATCACCCATAGGTAGTCATGACATTTCCCTATTTGTTCTATTGTTAAAGTCCATTTAGCAGCTATATCTATTTAAAGTTTTCTAAGATTAACTACCATTAGCCACTATAAACTACTGGTCATACCAGATCAAGGCAGCCGCACCTTGGAATGCATTAAATCGAAGTGAGAAAAGATGCATTGCTGATGTACTCAGTGCTTCATTTGTTTGGGTAAAGAGATATTATTTCTTCCATCAAAAGTTACTGTACATCATCTCACTTTAAACAAACATATAAACTATCCATTGTTCCCCTAAAAATCACCCAGGTTTTGTTTGTAAACATTATGCTCTACTCTGGACATCACCCTCTATTTAGAAACTTTCGTGAAATGTGCATAATTTCTCACAAGCAAAAATCCTGAAGTGCTTGATGATTCTGAAGAAAAGCCAAACAACAGAAGCCTTTGTCTTGCATAAATGAAACTGAGAAAACCCCTTTGATGCCTTGTCAAGAGCAGGAAGCTGTTGTGAATGGCTACACCACTGATATGTATTAACATTTGCCCGTATTGTGGGAAAATACTAACAGTGTCACAGTGCAGGAGACTGAGTTTAGTATTCACAGACTAGTCACCACTTCCTGTGTACCTGCTTGCTGTGATTTATGTCATGCACTGGTAGACAGTTGGCATCCTATATGAAACTGACAGACGTTTTCACATGATGGTTACTCTAAGGAAACAGATGCACGCACAAGTATGAATTCCCACACATAGGCACGCAAATTAGCCCTCTTTTGCCTGATCTTTAATTTGGTATAAGAATAAACAGGTAGATAAAAAAAATAATATCACCTTAAATCTCTTATGTATCGACAGCAGGTTTTAAAGGATATTGATGTAGTGTTGCAGGCTTACCAGCCATTTTTTCTTGAGTGCCCCTTTTCCCCGCCCCTTTTTCTGCACAGAAAGGTACACCACACAACTCCTGCACATGATGCAAAAGCAGCTCAGGTTTAACTCAGGATAATCTGTGGCTTGAAGAGTTTCACTGAAAACAACAGTGGGGTGACGGTTAACTGACAGGTGACCACTTTATTTCATACGCTGCTGCTGTCTCACTCCACTTTGGTTAACACAGGCATGGCAAAAACAAGGAGTTTTTTTTCAGGACCTGGAAACAGCAGAGGAAGCACATGAAGTGATTAAAAGTGTTGCATACAAAAACTAAAAAACAAACTCTCACACAACCAGTGTCCTTGGCACGTCATTGTGGAGTTTTGGTATAAACAAACCGCTCGAGGATAAATCTGATGATCACTTGACACCTTCAGATTTCCTAATATTTAACGAGTTCAAAGATAGAGGAAATTCTTGGTCTTATCTGACTAAATTGGCCAATCTCCATGATTCAGAATTAAATTACACAGAACCAATAAACCATAATAATAACTCTGCTGACAACAGTGAAAATGTGTGCAGCCTCACAAGTAGTCCTAATGTGTCCTCCAAGTAGTCCTAACACACTGTTCAGCGTGTTATGCCACTCTGCTTCTTTCTTCAGTCTCTCCCCTGAGTTCTGGCCCATTATGCAGGACGGGAAACAGAGGAGACCTGCGGTAAACCTCAACAGCCACACTCACCGACGTCACGCACACACTGTGCCCGGGTATATGGGGCGATCGTTCATTTGCCGTGTATGGCCCCAGGCTCTGGAACTCCCTACCGCCAGAGCTACAGTCCATAACTACACTAGCGGCCTTTAAGTCAACTCTAAAAACCCACCTTTTTAGACAGGCCTTTGGTGCCTAACCCGTTCCAGTCTTAACCCTCTTTTAACTCGTTGTTTTACGCTGTTTGTGTCCTGATATGGAAGATTTTTATTCCTTCTATTTTTAAAATTTGTGTTTTATTCTGTTTAGGTCTTCTTGTTTTAGTACTGTTTTTTATTAGTGTATACATGTTTTGTTGTGAAGCACTCTGTGCTCCTTTGGAGTTGTAAAGTGCTATATAAATAAACTATTATTATTATTATTATTATTATTATGGGGCATCGCATCGTAACCATTCATCTATTGGGGCACCACGTCCTCACTTACAATGACTTAACTCTAAAAATGATTTGGTAACAGCTTTTATTAACCCATAATTTTGCACTATACAAACAAATGTACATCTAGTGTAACACAGGGTAGATGTATCATACTCTACAAGAGCATTACTTCATGAACATCATGTGTATACTGATTTGTTTCTTATACACTCCAACACCCACAGCAATACAAAAAGTACACAGGCAAAATTTCCAGACAAAAATATTGTTTAGGTAAGCATGAGCTATGTCATCATTACACAAGAGCACAAAAAATAAATGCAAGAAATATGTTATATTTTCATTGATCATACTTTCAGAGAATATCAGATTGTTGGAAACATCATTGTCTGAAGAGATATTAAATGTTTCGGTAGCAAGTTCAAAGCAGGAGGAACCTCAGAGGGTCAGAAAACATTATTTTGAAGATGTTCACTAATAATAAACAAACTACCTTGGAGTTTGCTTGACAATCTCAATCATGGATTGGATTTTGACTACAAAATGGCTATTAAAATTATGATCAGGAAAACAGCAATAAAAAAAATTGTCTTAAAAAGCTAAGCATTACCTACACTGATCTGCAAAGTTTCAGACAGTCTATCTGTTCAAATCAGCAAATGGACAAGGCCTCTTCAAACAGGGACATGACAGTGATTGCATAGAGCACTGAGGAAAGTCTGCTAGCTATTGTAAGTGAGCTCCAATTTGAGACTTAGAAAATAAAAGCACAGCTGAAGAAGGCTATCATTTGCTACTGTGTCATTTGTTTATTCAGATGTGTGTATTGACAATGCCCCAGTCTTTAGTGGAGCCAAAAATTACTCAAGATGCCAGGTAAAGCATTAATAAATAATAGCTTTTCTGTCTCTTTTATCTTGTAGCAGTGAAACTGGTGGTTTCTTGTCCATAACACGGTCAAAAGCTTTTGGTCCCATCTTGGCCTCTGGACATGTGTTTAACCAGCTGTCTTGGGTAGAACTCATTCATCGGGCTCATATCTGAAACAGATGAGTGACACAAATCTGATATTGGATAAAAATTTTACTAAGTAAGCCAGATTTTCCAAATGTGTTTCCTGACATTGTTTGTACTATTTTAGCCCTAATGATGACAGCTCACCTCTGCAATCTTTTTCTGATTTCTTTGATTTGCTCGTTCTTCTTGGTCAGGATGTCCTTCATGTTGCGGTAGGCTGCAGTTTGCTGGAACTTCTTCTCCAACTCCTGCACGCCATATACATACATGAAGAGATTAGAAGCTGAATGCACCCATGCTGAAAACTGGCCAGAATAACAAGTACTCCTTATTGATTTATTTGTAAAAAGCTAATTTGATTGTAGTGGCTTGGCAACATATGCAAACAAACACACAACTGCTGAATCAAATTCTGAATCCGATTTCGCTGATGGGTGCACAAATGCACAAATCTCTTATGTGATATAACCAAAACTGTTGACTTTGGCAGAAAATGAACCCTAACACATCACTCACAGTAAGAAACTAACAGAGAAAATATATTGTCAGGGCTTTTAACTAGTAAATAGTGGCTACTGTCATGTAATGTACCTTCTCTGCTAAGGCCAGCTGCTCCTGCACTTGAAGAAGCTCATGTTTTGCAGAAATCAGGTTCTCCTGCAGATCCTTTTTGGATGCAGCATTGACACTGAGGGATCTTTCATAGCTCTCCTTCAGAGCTGCCACTGTGTCCTCAAGACTGCTGATCTCCTGGGATTGAGCAGCCAGCTTAAAGGAAAAAGATGGAATGAATGGCAATTGTTGCTACATTACTACAGAACCTGTTCCTTCTATTCCTGTTCACACTTTGGTCAAATAGATACATACCATTTTAGGTCCAAGTTAGCAGAACAAAGTAAATGACAGCAAGCGCTCAGATGCAAAACAATAAAAACAAATGTGTTAAAAAGTAAAAGTGGTAAAATGGAAAGCAAACTCAAAATGTCATAATCAAAAATGATGCAAGTCAAATGAGAAATAATACCTGCTGTTCACCTTGCACCTTCTGAAGGTCTTTCAGAGCGCTCTCTGCCTTTGTTTTCTCATCTAGTGCACTCATGGCCTAATAAAATTAATCAGAATGTAATATTATTCATGTAAACCAGTAAGATGAAAGATGAGATCTGCTTAAAAATATGCATTTTTTTTTTTTTTTACCTGGGATTCTAAAGTCCGCAGCCTGCCTTTTAGTTTGTCATTTTCCTCCTGTAATCTTGCAATCTCCTGAAACAATAATCAACATATAGAAAGTGTTCTGCATGAACATGATGAACATGATACATGAGGGAACAGCTTTATCTGAAACTACTCTGTACATGTAACCCGTGCAATATTTTCTTTACCTTGTTGAGAAGTTCACATACCCCACCCTCGTTCAGTGGTGCTAACTTGGGTTTACTTGTTTCCTGGTTTATCTGGGAATAAAGTAGAAACAATGAGAGGACAGTGCTTATTCCTTAGTCTAAAACATGTTGGACATGCTTTGTCATTATTGTACAGTAAAAAAAAACAAACTGTTTTTACCTGTTTAGTCTTGCTTTTGTTAGAAATGTGAAAATGACTAGTGCCTACAGTTGAGGAAGGGAAGGATAGCCAAACCCATGAAAGTGAAGCACTTAGTTCTTTTTTTATAATGCTTCATGAAGCCACATCAGCCTCAGTGATGTGTGACTTCTGTAGTGCATGACTCTCTGACAGCAGCCTGACATATAAAACTACTCAACATGTACAGGAGTGCTGCACTGCTCTCTAGTTACTGAATTCCATGTGGTCTAAATATCATTTGAACGATGGCTAATGACAACTGCACTAATGGTGATGTTTAAAGGTTTACATGTGACAGAGCTGCACATTATGCTCACCTTATTAGTGGTTTTAAAATCAGTCTTCTCAAATTCAGCCACTTGTTCTAACAGCTCCCTATATGGGTAGAGGAGAATAAAGAATTGGGCAGCAGAATAACAAAGGAAAGAACAGAGGAAGGTAACTGTAAATGTTTTGCAAGCAGTCCTGAAGAGGGTGTACCTGATCTGTTCATCTGTAAATCACATGCCACAAGTGTGAGATTGCCAGAGCGATGCTTATGTTTATGTTTTGTGATGTTATAGTAATCTATTATTTGGCAGTTACGATGGTTTAGCAGGTAAAAGAAACACCCTTGTTCTTGATGGCAGAATAGCACGTATGATATAAAACTTATGCCTGTGGTGAACAGATGTGCTCTCTGGAAAGCTTAAATGTGGTTTTTCAAAAGCAGCTAAAAACACGTAGACTGTGACATAGGGCGTATTCCTCACGTTACACACCATTTCAGTCACGTAGGGCTAAGCCTTGTAAAAGGCTTCAGGGCATATCTATCCACCCATCAACATCATCTACATACAAACAAACTAAAAGAAACTGCCCAAAACACACACAGTGTTTTGACAAGGTTATGGAGGTCAAAAGTTACATGGAGTTCACCTCAATATCACAGACAGATAACAACCAAACTGGGGAATTTTATGTAGGATGAGCTGGCAAACAGTGGTTTAGCTTGTGTTAACAATCAGCCAGCCACATGTGTGTCAGAATTTTATGACCTTTTGCTCTGAGACTGAAGATAACCAGATAATGTGATGTGAGGGAGAATGGAAAAGTCTTGTTTCCTCCCTCTCACTGGCAAAAAAGAGGAACAGGGCTTTAGTTTGACATAAGTGTATTTTAAAGACAAAATTTTGAACACCTCAACTCATCTTTAATTTCAGAACAGATTAACAAGTTCTTCTAAATTGTGTCACAGTGAATTATTGTTAATCTATAAAACTGTTCAGCTATGGTCTAAGACCTGACAATATTTGTGCCAAAAAGCCCTAATACTTCCTTTGTCACAATATCATGAGTGCAAAGTACCTTGTGACAACAGTTCATATGGTATCACATGTGCATGCCCACATTGCTCCATGTGCAGCATTCTAATATAAAAAAAACAGCATAGGGCACATAAGGCAACTTAGGGCACTCTTGAGGTCATTGCTCAATATCAACAGGAAGAATGACCATTTAACTTATGTAGACTTATATGTAGTCTTATAACATGTGGCCACAAACCAATGACATCATGACAATCACAAATATACACTCATACACAACCTGACAGTAAAAAATAAATGAAACCCTTTCATAAATTAAAGAATAATTTTACAAAATACATATTTTTGTCATTTACCCCTGGTGGTACTTAGCAATGTGGACAGAATTGCTTGTAGTAAGGTCTGCAAATGGAGAAATCTGAGAAAAAGGGCACTGTTTCTGGAGTGACTTATTTTCCTTATAGTAATTTATCAACAATCACTTACCTATACTCTCTCAGACTGCAGAATTCTCAGATGTTGATATTTTAAAACCTTAGTAAAACCTCTATCTATGTGGTTCAATACCATTATGGATTACTAAAAAAAACATGTAATTTGGGTGAACTGAGAATATGGCAGAAGTTGTGGTTTTCAGAATAAGCGTGAAATGAAAACCACTGTAATGGAAAAATGGTTAAATTCATAGTGTATGCACGCATGAGGCATGGCAATGACCTTTATGCCTGACACATAACATGCAACAGATCTAAACCTAAACAGTCCTGAGGAGGAAGTTGCCTACAGAACAAAGCGGAGAAGCTTTTCTCATGAAGGTGTATGTAGAGCTCACTTCTTACTGTTACATTGGTGTAACACTCTACTCAACCTTGACTTGTCACATTCATTTAAATCATTTTAATTTGAGAATGTTTTCATCTGCTTTAAACTGCTTCATGTCTCACTGCTCACCTGTTCTCCAGTTCTGAAATATCGCTTTGCAGTCGAAGGTAAAACTTCTCAGCCTGGGAGAAGAGTTGTCTGAGCAGCAGCACATTGGTGTGCGCTGTGTTGATGAGCTCTATCTCCACCTCTCCCCGCACCACTGCCTGCAACCCATCCAGCATCTCCCTCACCTCATCCACTGTGAAGGTTTCCTCCACTAGCCTTCAGACAGTAATATATATGCACATATGTATACATATCACACATCAATCTGAACTGAAAAGCACTTCATTGTTATATTATACTTCTAAGTTACAGAATGAGTGAAGTGGAAGTTTAATTTACAAACAATGACACCAAAAACCTATGCCCAGTCACCTGCTATCTTTGAGTTCCTCAAAGCATGAGTCGATAGTCTTGAGCCTCAGAGTCCTTTTTGAACGTGCAAATCGCATGTAATTGATAACTTCATTCTGATGGTGTTCATTAAACCCGAATTCAGCCTACATGGAGACGAAAAAAGCCATTAGTAACAGCGGGTGGTGAATTAAAGGTTGGCAGAGAGACTTTAATAATGACCACAGCCAGCCGAACTTGCAGAGGATTTCCACTTGCTAATATGTGACAGGGCCTATTACACACACACACACACACACACACACACACACACACACACACACACACACACACATATATGCCTGCTAACCTCCTCCAATCAAGGTCGGGCACCATTTTAACAACAAAGGCAGACGTTTAGCATGCTAACATTTAGAAGCCAACAAGTGGCCTAGCTACCTATAAACAGCAAATGAGAGCGTATCACACACACACACACACACACACACACACACACACACACACACACACACACACACATATATGCCTGCTAACTTCTTCGAATCAAGGTCGGGCACCATTTTAACAACAAAGGCAGACGTTTAGCATGCTAACATTTAGAAGCCAACAAGTGGCCTAGCTACCTATAAACAGCAAATGATTGCAATAACTCACCATGGTGGCTGTGCAGCTATCGTTAATGTAACTAAGCTAAGTTAGCTAGCTTGTAGACTGAGCTGATCCAAACGGAAAATCTGTGTTTCGGCCTATAATTTAGTCACACAGCAAACAGACTAGAATCTAAAGTAATGTAAGAATGTCCTGGAATCGATGGTTCTAATGAGCTATTTTACTTGTTCTATTCGAAGTAGAGGCTAAATGAAGGTTATGTTATAGTTATAATAGATGGCAGATCAGATAGCCTAGCCATCCAGCTAGTGTTGAGAATGCCTTGGTAACGGAGAATAGGCGTCATCACCTTGGTTACTGAGGTGCGTTCAATGTCGCTACGTTCAACATGGAACAAAAATTTCACAATAGTCACTTTTCATATAGCCTAGCCCTACATTAACTTAGAGATGAATTATTGTCACCTTTATTAACTTTTAATCTATATAATGCAAATCAAATGCATTCACAAATATAAATACTGCTCTTGGTTAATAAAAAAACTGAATGATTTAAGGCCAAAATACATTTTTGATTTGAAGCTATGAACTGCCCAAACCTTTCAGAATGCCTGGGCCACTTATCCTTACTGTCCCTGGAGTCAGAACCAAACATGGAGAAACAACATTTCGTTTTATGCACCCCATAACTGGGACAAACTCCCAGAAAACTTTCTTAATAGTAAAGTAAAGGCTTGACTTTTTTGTTTGCTATTGTTTCAGTGAAATAAAACGTAGGACTGTTTATTCATATGTTGCACTGTTATGCAACTACGATGTAATCCCCCCCATGTTCTAAATGTTCAATTCCATCTTATTTTATATTGTGTTTTATTTTACACTTTAAAATCCTATTTAGATTTTTTTTTTACTGCTATATATATTTCCTTTAAATTCTTTTTTTTAATGCCTTTAATGTCATGCAAAACACTTTGAGTTGCTTCTTGTTGGTGGTGCTATACAAATAAACGTGCCTTTACTTAAATCTATTTTTTACCATTATCATGTCTAATCTCATTCATTCCTTGTTTACTAATGTCAGTATTTTAAAATACCATCAATATTTTTAAATGAAAATATGTTGTTAGATGTATACAGGCATCTACAGATGTCTACAGTTTGTGCCCTATATCACTGGGAAATGTACACTTTTATTTTTAGTTAGGTTGTTAACATCTGATCTGACTATCTTGTCTTTGTCATTCTGGAGCAGTAGATGGCACTACTGCATTAGAAAGGAAATGTCAGAGGAGTAAAGTAGGTCCTGATATTGTTAAAGTGTATTATGAAACTGATTTCTTTACAATAAAGTATAGATGGAGAGCCACTATAAGGATGTTCACAGCAAAACCACAGCTACAAAATTTCACAGCTATTAAGGTCCTACCATTTTACAATGCATACAGCTTGTTGAAAGATCATGAAATTTTATTGCAATATAAGATAACAAGACTTTATTGTCATTGTGGTGTTGTACATGAGATGATGTTGGCATTCCTTGAGTACTTTAGAAACATATTTCCCATGTTTTGTAGTACTGCAGTTTATCTTTTGTAACTTCAAACATGTTTCATCATTGTTCATATATAGCATTCACATCTCTCTAAGTTCCTGAAGGCTTCCAACAGCAGTTTCATAACTTAATCTAAGCACACTGCAGTGTTTTTACTTGAAATTTTACAGCACATCCATCAGTTAGTATTCTTTTTGTACAGGTTTAAATAGATTAAGTGATGGGACAAATCATGGCTGCTTCTTTGTAAGTTAAATCCAAAATGAAATAAATTTTGTTATTAAAATATTGAAAATTTTGTAAATGTCTAGAAACAAAAGCTAGTAACTGTTTACTGCAATAAGAAGTACACTATTTCCTATTGAACTGTAGTGTCATGAAAAGCAAAGATTCAAGTACAACATAAGTACCTCAAATATGTAATTAAGTACAGTATTTGCGATAATGTGCTTAGTTACATTCCACCACTGCTGTCTAGTTTTTATACTGTACTATAGTTTTTATAATTTAAAATAACCCCGCACTGGAAACTAAAACCAGTTTCCGCAGTAGCCAGTCACAATTAAACCGTTCGGAGGTCGGTCTGTGCTGTACCCGTCAATTCAAACTCTGATGAGACTGATGAAAAACTGATCTCGGGTCAGGTATTTCGATAATTCCGTGTCCAGAAAAACCAATCAGCTGACATCCGCATGACAGGCAGGGTTTACGCGTGCGCAGTAGCAACTTTTGTTATCAGGAATATGGTAGCGTCCTGAGACCTGTTGGGGGGAATACGGCGTAACTGAGGACCTTCATCACCAGAGTGTGAAAACTGAGACGCAACGGCCGCACTCAGCGGAGGGTGGGGGGCTAAGGGACGGCTACGAATAACACATCATAGTGTTTTTACAGGTAAATATATCCGTTTGTACTTGCCACTTTTTTTTCAAGGCATCTTCTTCCATGTTTGATTGATCTCCGCTGCTAATGCGACTAGCTGGTCTTCTACAAAGCCTCAGTGAAGTGCTAGTTAGCTGTTAGCTTGTGGCTAACCCAGCATTAGCCTGACACAGCCCCATTTTAACATTTGGCAAACAAACGCTGATAACAAAAGTGTCTGGGCTATGTGCGGCTATGTGCTTTACTTAGGTGGAGCAATAGTGTATGAGACATCGTCTAAGCTGTACTGTCTTGCTCCAGTTCATCGTTTAGGCCTGCTGCAATGAAGCAAAGTTTGGCTAGCTACTTGACAGCCAGGTAACGTTAATACTGCTTGTCATGGATTTAGTTGACATATCAAGAGCCAGCGCACATGGTCAAATGAACCCGTTTTGTTCAATTTCTAATTTCTTAATATGTGAAGTCACGTGTCAAAATAATCAACAAGGTTATTACATTTTGCAAGCAAGTCGTTTATGCAATTCAACCACAGGAGATGAAGAGTGGTTCAGTTTCAGGGCTGAAAGTTCCTTTCTTGGAAAAAAGATTGCTTCATATAATTGGTAAATAAAGGGGTGCATTGCAACATGTCTTCAGTGCAGGAACGAAGCTTTAAAGTAGACAACCATATTGCAGAAACCAGCATGATGCACACCTTATGTTTTTGTCTATATGAAATATTTGGTCAAATTCATATGCAATTGTGAATGACCTTGTAGATGCAATGCTCTGCTTTGGCTCATTTTACTTTCCTTTTCTTGCACTGCAGTTCTGGTATGGTAGCTTTAAGTTCAACATCATTTCAACTGTAAATATAAAAAAAGCCTTAGGGCCATATAATGATGTAATGGCACATGATAGTTTGACCATTGTACTCAGTTTTTGTGTTTGAATCAGATGATCCGACCTGTTTTCCAGCAGCTGTGATAAATAAAGTAGAAAACGGACTAAAAACTAAACAGACAAACAGAGCGAAAGAGCTGTTTGCACACTATTAATACTTAACTGTTGTGACACATATATCCCGTGGCTGTAGATTAATTAGGTAGTTCCTAGCCAGTAATATGTGGTTGACAGTCTGTTTTCAGCAGCTCATTTAGGTGCCTCTGAGAGGTTTGATGCAATCTTATTAGCAGGGCTGCTTGGTGGAACCAAGTGCCAGTATACATTTGAAACTGTACCAACTGTCAGAGGTATTCATTTAACAGCAAACATTATGTTAGCATTGATCAGAACCATGTTATCTTAAAGTGTTTGAAAGATTTGTGAGAAGTCTGGAAAAAGTTATCATGTAAATGTTGTGTACTTGGTTTTGGGCTGTGTTCCATTTGTTTTTACTTTTGTTTACTTTTTTTTGCTAAACTCTCATGTATAGCATATGAATGCTTTGCATAAAGGCAGGAAGAGCTGGGAGAAGTAATCACATAATCCAGCTCTGGAATCTGCCTTGGTCTTTTTATTTTTTTTACACACATCACTGTAATATAATAAAAAAACTACACTGCCTTCTTCTTCATCAGCAAAGAGCATGCTGTGCACTGTGAGATGCTAACATCTTCTGTTGTGCATTCCATCAGCCCCCTGCTTTGGATTACAATCATTATGCAGATCTATGAATGTGCGTTGAAGAAAAAACTGTTGGTGCAAAACTTAGCTCTGGCCTGTTCTTTGCACCTTTGTTTCTCTAGCACAGACATCAATTATAGAGATGCCAAAAACTGCCAGAGGTCCTCAACCAGTGTTGTGGCACTTGATACTACCCTGTATTTGCATCCTGTTGTCTTTGAACACCAGACAGTTTTCCTCTTGGTGAACGGTGGTTTCCATCATCTGTGCTTATTTTGCTGCTCCCTGCTTCGTATGTACTCTGAAGAGGAGAGGAAGGAAAACCACAGTCAGATTTTTCCAGGATCCTGGCAGAGTGCTGACACAGGTTCCCTTTGTCACTGTACAGCTACCAGCAAATTACTGCACTAAGGTCAGGAGAGGCAGTTATTCCCTCCTTTGGTCTGGTGAGGATTGTCTTTGTAGCCGCCACCACATCAGAAACAATCTGCCATTAAACTAAGTACCACTATTAACCATTCCAAGGTGCTTTGTGTTTTGTCCAAGTTTGAAAAGAAACTTCTTTGGAGTTAGGATTACTTAATCCAATCTGTTGTCCAGTTTTGAGTGTCAAGATATTATAAGGTTAAATTATGATAAATTTTCATCTAGATTAGTTGAAAATAAGACATAGCCTAACCGCTGTTTATCCAAAGGTGATCAATAGCCCACAGTGGCTTTGCTTCAAACCCGATTGACACGTATGCACTGGTGCACTGTTGTGTTGTTTTGTCCTTATGACCTGGAAGACATCTTTTTAATTTTTGCCAAACATGCCTTGTCCCAGTTGTTCTTTAAATTAGTGTCTTTTCAAAGTGACCCTGTTAAAGTGCATATAAGGAAATGCTACACTGATGCTGTGGTTCTTAGATAAAAATAATGATTGTGAAGAATCAGTCATTCACGGAGTGATGGACAACTCTCTCTCGTGGGATAATCATTGTTTTCTCTGTATTAGTTATTTAGCTGAGAGAGTATCTGATGGGAGTCTTTCTCTTTTAGCTGTACAGTGTTGGATGACTGTGTGAAGTGTGCGTGACAGTGTAGTGGACTGTGTGTTAAATTTAATGTAGTAATGATTTCTTGGTTCCAGATATTTGTTTGGTGACTTCTTTTAGGACAGACATCAACTGTGACCTGAAATCTTTCTGCTCTGTAACTAAAAATTCTTTTAAATGCTTTTCCTCAAGTAATGCTCAAATTAGCATCTTTCACCTTTTTATTGTCTGAATGTTTTTTTCTGTGTTGAATAAAAAAA